GTCCATGCAGAAATAGAAGTACAATGATGTACACCTGAAATTTTTACAATGTTATAAACCAATGTTACTGCAATAAACAAAAAATTTAAAAAAAAAATAAATAAAAAAATAAAATTAAATAAAAATGTAAAAATTCAGTCCTTTAGTCACATTAGCCACCTTTCAAGTGGTCAGCATCAATGTGTGGCTAGTGGCTACAATACAGGAGAGCACAGATAGACGTTCCCATTATCACAGAAATTGCTACAGGGCAACTGTTATAGATTATTTATCCAAGCCTCTTTTAATGCCAAACTTCACTTGCACACTAAATATCATCCACTCTTGTTGGACTTTATTCTAACAGATCTTGCCTGTTATTTCTCTCTTAAAACTTTCTTTTGACCCCACTTCCTCCAACTATTGCCCCATTTCTCTACTTCTCTCCGAAGCCTCAGTCTCTAGTTCCTCTGCTCCCATTCTCTTAAAATTCCCTAAAACTGGACTTTAACCCACACTCCATAAAAACGCCTGCTGAAATCACAAAAGGCCTCCACATTCCTAATCCAGTGGTCAATTCCGTCTTCATCATAGTTAACAAATCAGCACGATATGAAACAATTTATCACTTCTTTCTACAGTGGCTTCCAGCATATCCATGTTCTCTTAGATTTCTTCTATCTCCTGAGCACTGTTCAATCCCCATTGCTGCTTCCTCCTCTCTGCCCAGCCTCTTACAAGAGTACTCAGGGTCCATCCTGGTCCTCTCTTCTCCTGTCTCTATGCTCACTCCCCAGGTCATCTCATCCATCTCACGGCTTTAAGTAGCATCTAGATGCTGAGGACTATGCATCTAAGTCCCTGGCCCCAACCTTTCTCCAGAACTCCTCACTTGCTACTTGACACTCCACTTGTCTGAAAGATATCTCAAACCTAACACATCCAAACTTCATCTTCCGGGACAAAGCTGCACCAACTAGAGGCTTTCTTAGCTAAGACAACCCAATCCTTCTAGTAAGTCACCCTTATTTCCTCTCTCACACACCCCACACTCACTCCACCAGGAAATCCTATTGTTCTACCTTTCAAATAAAGTATACCCAGAATTTGACTCTTTCTCTTTCACCTCCACTGCCACACACCTCCTCATCCCCCAGTGTGAGGCCCTTAATCCTCCTGAACTCTTGCCAGAACAATCTTTTCAAAGGTAAGCAGATCATGCATGTCTCTCCTCTGCTCAAAGCCCCCCATGGGCCCCCATTTCACTCAGAGTAAAAAATTCAAAGTCCTTTACAATAGCCCACAAGGTTTTAGGTAATTTTAAATTGTAAAAGGCCTGAAGCAAAGACTTCAGAACTAGCTTTACATTTCTTAGTCACTTCTGTCAAAGGTCAGTACAGACTTGGAACCACCATGTTAATGACTAACCAGGAGATACTTCTTTGACTAGATGAAGGCCTATGTTGAGCAAACCCTGTCGACTACATTTTCACAAATCACATACTTAACTTGCATAAGGCCTATTAAGGTATGTTCCAGCTTACAGGGTTTCTTGGGGGCCTCATTTGTCAAAGCACAATTCAAACACTCGCCATCAACTGCATACACATTTTTGTGTCTCCTTCAGAGTGAGTTCATCAACTCAGCCTGTTCAGCATCCCCAGGCAGGAGGGCCAGACTATCTCCCTTTCAGCGTTCCACATGCTCCCTTTATCTCCATATCTGACCATACACTGGAAATACCCTCTGAACTCTGACCAAGGTGAATTTTCAGAAAATCTTCCCTGGAGAGCACTGGTGTGTTCATAAGCCATACAGGCCAAGAATCACATACCCATTCAGATTATTTCATTATGGTTCCAGGGAGCAGTAATCAGAATGCTAAGGCAATGCTTGCATTTAAATAAACATACTGTCTCAAATCACTACACTACGAGATCCTCAAAAGTGGCGGCTGTATCTCAAGCCATTTTTGCTTTCTTGATGCTTGGTACAAAATAGGCACTGATATCTTTCTGGTGAATTTCTGACTGAAGAAACATGAGGTGACTGCATGAACGAACACACATCTGCATCTCGACCTAGGAGTCCAAAGGAGAGGCAGAGAAGCAGGTCAGGGAGCAGAGACCTAAATAAAACTACATGCTCACAACACTATATTATAGCCTTGAATGAGGCTGACAGGAACTGAGTTTTCTTACCTGTGCTTGTTTCTGCATTTCTCCTTTAAGATCATCAAAATATGTGCTTTCTCCTTCATCATATTCTGCATCAAACATTTCCTTCAATTTTCTCTTTTTATCCAAATGCTTCTTCTTGGCACTTTCCTCTGCGCTGGGGTCAATTTCTTCCTTAACTTCTTCCTCTGCATCTTCAATCTTAAATTTCCAGAAGAAAAAATGTTATAAAAGGTTGTGGAGATCTTTTCTTTAAACATTAAAGCAGATTTAAAAAGTTCTATTTAACCTGTAAAAATCTTAGTTATGATCATAGTGAAAACACAGCAAAACACAGCCTTTGGGCTCTAAATAACCTATATTGTTATAAGAGACATTTAGATATCTGCATTACAATTTACTGTCATTCCTTAATCTGTCTGGGAATGCCAAACCTCCCAACCCAGATGCTCCCCAGACACTGTTCTAAAGAAATATTAAGGAGAACAGGGAATTAGTTTTTTTTTTTTTTTAAATAGTACTTAAATTTAAGAAGAGGAGAATGATGGCAAAAGGAATGGTGGAAAGGAAGACAGTGACCCAAGAGGTAAATCTTTCAATGACTGAATAATCATAATGACCAGAAAAGGTAAAAGGTGTCACCCAAAAGATCAAAAATAATAAATAAACTAACAACCTTTGATCTGTCTGCACTCTCCATATTTTAAGGAAGGAATCCATCCAGTCTGTAATCTCCACAGATAACACGTTAAGATTTGCATTCTCAATATGGGCCTCTCAGAATATACTGACCACAGATCAAGGACTGACAGCTGGCCATGGCAAAGTCATACCTGAGTATCCAGGCCTGATTTTCCCTTGTGCACGTCCCCTGTTTCCAGGTCTTCAAAGTCACCATAGAGCTCCTCTGGGAAAAGAACCACCAAATGAATCTTCTGTGAACAGGGCCTGCATGTGACACTCTAGCACTACCAGGTGCGCGGTGTACTCTGCACCTCAAACTTCGTTTTTACTGTTCCTACTGCCACACACTCCAGAAGAATCCTGCACTTACATAGGCTTCTTTTTCTGGTTAAACTATCAGTATTTCATCACTGTTTAGGTTAAATAAATGGACCCAATCCACATTTCCATACTTTACTTTGAAATTCCACTTAGCCAAGAGCCATTTTTCGAGTATAGGTGATGGACACTCTGTAGCAGAGAAGCACACAGGTGGCATGCATGGCCCTGCAGGTGAGTCCCCAAGACCAACAGTCCAAAGAGTGACTTGAAAAAATCATAGCTTGATATTAGCACATGTGACAAAGAATCTTAATAGTAAGATCAACAAACTCATGACATACCTAGGGAAAATCTTAGATTACATAAAATGCAGTATTTAGAGTAAGAGTAGTATCCAAAACAGTGCTGAGCCACATGAAAAGCTCATTCACTCACTCATTCCCTCCTTTTCAGAGCTCTAAGTTTAGTTATGGGTCCTATCTTCAAAAGAAAAAGACATTACAACCCCTTTGGGAGGCAACATTTACAAGGGTATTAAAATATTTTCATATAAGAAAGAGCCAAAAAACCAAAGAGCCAAAGAAGATATAAGAGATCGGAAGATTGCATCTGTAATAAAAACAAAAAAAGAATAAAATACTTCGGAATAAACCTAACAAGATTATGTGCTAGAACATAAAATGTGCTAGAACTTCATTTTAAAAATTTAAAAAGCTTTAATATGCTACCAAAGGACACATGGAATAACAATAGCTAACACTTTTAAGTGCTTTACATACCAGGCACCGCTCTACGTACTTAACAAGCCTTAACTACATTCTTTAACATGACCTGATGAAGGAGGTGTTACTAACGTTATCTACTGAACAAATAAAGATTACCATGTACTTGGAAAGGAAGACTCAATATCAGGAAGATGCAAGTCATCTGTTAAAGAAACTGCCGTTTCTTTAACAGTTACAATAAGAAACATCACCAAGGATTTCTGGAAAAGATAGTGTAGATGCGTTTCCTCTGTTCCTCTTGACTCAGTATAACCAACTCCAGAAATAACACAAGAGCACTAGAGACAACCAAAGAACGCTGAAAAGTGGGAAGAAAAAGACGAGCTGGTGAGGGTCCCCAGGACCAGAGGAATGACAAAGTGGCCATTGTCTTACTGCATCACAACCCACAGAAAGGCGACTCAGGGACATTGTTTTCCAATCCCCAAGCTATTAATAGAACGCAGCCCAGATAGGCTCATTCTTCCTCCAAATCGAACTGGATCTCACCAACAACACCCAGTAAACCAGTCAGCACTGGCAAAGGGGATGGATCAGGAGCCCCAGTGACAATAAGCAATGAGGGGAAGCGTTCCCCTTCCCCAAAGAGTCTGAATCTCCTCTCCTTCACCAAGATATACCAGGTGGCCAGGGGTTATCGGCAATGGGAGATTCGGCCAGGCACGAGACTCTCCTCCCCAACCTAAAAACAATGTGCAACCAAGCAGGACCAGCGAAGAAAGCCCGAAAACAACAAACTGGCCCCATAGGCCAAAACAACCTTCACTCACCCAGCTACACAGGTGGCCCAGCGGAGGGAAGCTCCTCGGTTCCCTCAGGTGACACCAGCAGGAATCAGCGACACCAGATAAACCAGGCAGACCAAAATAGCACCTCAAAGGCTCTGAAATTAAATTGTCATTGGAAACATAGGCCACAAAGTAGACCAGGACCTGCATACTAAACCTAAACAGGATGACTGCCTGCTAAAATAAAAAATAACATAGGATCCAGAGTCTCCTAACATAATAAATAACCAAAATGTGTAGGATACAACAGAAAATCATCTGTCATACCCAGAACCAGGAAAATTCTAATTTGAATGTGAAAAGACAACTGACTGACACCAACACTAAAATGAATCAGATGTTGGAACTATCTGACTATTACCTTAAAATAGCCATTACAAAAATGCTTTAACAAGCGACTACAAACCCCATGGCAACAACCAAAAAATTGAAAATCTCAGCAAAGAAACTGAAGAATGAAACGCAAATTATATAACTGAAAAATATGATAAATGAAATTTTAAAAAGCTCACTAGATGGGCTCAATATTAAGAGTAGAGATGACAGAGGATAGAATCAGAGAACTTGAGTCCAGATCAATAGAATTCACCCAGTCTGAACGACATAGAGAAAATAGCCTAAAAACAAAGGAACAGAGCCTCATGAACCTGTGGGACAGAAACAAAAGATCCAACATTTATATGATCAAACAAGGAGAGTAAGGTTGAAAGAAATGATGACTGAAGCTTCCCAAATTTGGTGAAAGACATAAACTTATAAATTCAAGAAGCTGAGCAAATCTCAAACAGAGTAAACCCAATGAAATCCACACCAATCAAACTTCTGAAAACTAAAAGCAAAGATAAAAATCTTGAAAGCAGCCAGAAAGAAATGACAGTTTACCTGTAGGGGCACACCAATTCAAGTGACAGCATATTTATCCTCTAAAATCATGGAGGCCAGAAGGAAGTGGCACAACATTTTTCAAGTGCTGAAAGAAAAGAACTGTCAGCTGTGAATTCTATATCCGGTGAAACTATCCTCCAGAAATGAAAGGGAAAATAAAGACATTCTCAGATGGAGGAGAACTAAAGGAATTTGTTGCTAACATACCTACCCTTAAAAAATGGCTAAAAAAAGTTCTTAAGCAGAAAGGTAATTTCAGGGGCCAGCCTGGTGGCATAGTGGTGAAGTTTGCATGCTTCGCTTTGGCAGCCCAGGGTTCGCAGGTTCGGATCCTGGGCATAGACCTATGCACCGCTCATCAAGCCATGCTGCAGCAGCATCCCAAATATAAAATATAGGAAGATTGGCACGATGTTAGCTCAGGGCCAATCTTCCGCAGCAAAAAATAAAAAAAAGTAATTATAAAAGGAAAAATCTAGGACCACTAGGAAAAAAAAGAAAAAACAAAAAAAGACCAGAAATATGGATACACACACTAGACTATCCTTCTTCTTATGAGTTTTTAAAATCATATTTGATGACTGAAAAAAAAATTATACCACCATCTAATCACTCAAGCCGATGATATTTAAAGGTAGGGAAAGTAACAGATCTAAATGGAAGACAGGTTTCTACATGTTACTCAAAGTGATAAAATTGTGGTACCAGTAGGCTATGATATTACAGTATGGATATCACAGTACCCAGAGCAACCACTACAAAAAACAGACAAAGATACACTCAAAACACTGTAAACATATCAAGATAGAAAGAAGAAAAGGGTAACAGGAAAAACAGAAGAACTAGAACCAGAGTTCTAATAAAATATCAGATTTAAACAATTACATATCAATAAGTACCCTAAATGTAAATGACATAAATACACCAATCACAAGACAGACTGACAGAGACGATAAAAATACATAACCCTACTATATGCTGTTTACAAGAAATTCATTTCAAATTTAATGACCTAATTAGGCTGAAAGTAAAAGGACAGAGAAAGATACACCATGCAAACTCATCTCTTAAAAAAGCAAGAGTGGGGAGTGACAGCATCACGGCAGAGTGAGCTCTGCCCTGTCTCTCCCCCACTAAGATACAACAAAAAGGACATTCATAAACTAACAGAGGACATTCACACAACACGACAGATGTCTGAGAGATCCACATAGCCATACGTCTGAAGGTGTGGGTGCTGGACCCCCCCCAGGAGGCAGTGGAAGCAGGTAAGGGGATCTTCTCTCCCTCCTGAGCGGCAGCAATCTAGGGGCGGGATCTTGCACAGCGGCCAGCGCATGACCTTGAGAGGAGAAGGGGGAGAAGGCAGCCCTCCATGGGAACACTTGCACTCTTGGAGTTGCCTCCCAGTGTGTGGGAACACTCCACACCAAGGCAGCTAAGCAATTGTGGGAGTGTTGGCACCAAGCCGAGAAGACAGTGAGTGCAGGGGGGTGGTGCGCGGGATCGCACACGCAAAAGAAAGCACCTCTCCGCCCTCCCACCTGGCGCACCAGCTCAGCCCATCGGCCAGAGCAGGGGATTCCCACCAGAGTGCCTGTGCATACATGTGTAAAGCAATAGCGACCAGCAGGCAAACACAGATGGGCCGTGCCAGCACAGCTTCCAACGGACAGGCACATCTGCCAGCAGTCGCAGAGGGCTCAGAAAACACAGCTCCTGCCCCCGGCAGTGGTGGCAGGTGGAATCTGCGACCAGACACGACCATTATGCAAAGGCAAAAGTCCACCCCATCAAATGGCATGAAGAAATATATTAACACTCCAGACCAGAAGGAAAATGACAAGTATCCAGAAATCAATCCTGAAGTCACAGAAATTTACAATCTAAATGACAGACGATTCAAAATACTTAGAATAAAGAAACTCAACGAGTTACAAGAAAACTCAGACAGTTCCATGATCTCAGGAATAAAATTAATGAACAAAGGAAGTTCTTCACAAAAGAGATTGAAATTATAAAAAAAAAAAAAACCCAATCAGAAATGTTAGAGATGAAAAACACAATGAATGAGATAAAGAAAAATGTGGAGTCCTTAAAAAACAGAGCTGATATTATGGAGGACAGAATCAGCAGTCTGGAGGACAGAAATATAGAAAAGCTGCAGATGGAGGAGTAGAGAGAACTAAGACTAAAAAGAAATGACAAACTTCTCTGAGAAACATCCAACTCAATTGGGAAATGCAACATAAGGATTATAGGTATTCCAGAGAAAGGAGGGAGAAGGGAGGGAGAAAAGAGCAGAAAGCTTGTTCAAAGAAATAATAGCTGAGAACTTCCCAAACCTGGAGAAGGAGCTGGAATTACATGTAAATGAAGCCAATAGAACTCCTAATTACATCAATGTAAAAAGACCTTCTCCAAGGCATGTATTGGTAAAACTG